GCTGTGCCTCCGTTTAAATCCCAGCACCAATCTTCTTCTGCAGCCCCATTTCCGGCTCCTCCCACAATTGGCCACAGCTGCCAGCATTCTGGGCAGGTGTGGCCCTGTGGTGTGGAGCCAACTATCTCCAAGTTCTTCTGGACTCTACTACAAATCCCTGCTTGGGGCTCCCCTCTTGGCTGCACCCTGTTACAAAGTCACATTTCTGTAATTCCTTATTATCTGCAAAAGGTTGTCATTTAAATCATCTCAGTGGGTGAACTTGATGGCCCTTCTTACTTCAAAATTATGTAACTTAAGAGAATCATTTTGCCAAAACAGAAAAAAAAGAAGTATCAAATGTTCATAATACTAGGAAATTTCCCCTGTAATAGTACAGGACAGAGGAAGTATTCCAAATGTAAGAACTAGACAGCAACTCTGGGTTCCTTTTTTAATTGTATTTGTTAAATCATTACAGTATATTTTCTTTTTTAAAAATAAGAAAAAGGATTCCCAGTAGATGGCCATCCTTTGTCTCAGGCCAGACATCATCCCCAGCTTTGTAAATGTGAGGAAGCAAAAGTACCACTAGATGGAGCAGGCACAAGACATATATTTACTTGAAGTTGAGAGAACTCTGGCAGTCCAAATCTTAAAAGGCACACCTTCTGAGTAAAAGGAAGCTCAGTGAAGCAACCTCGGTTACTTTAAAGAATCTAGAAATTCAGGACTAGAACTTCATTCAGTTACCTTGAGAATCCTTTCCACAAAACCACACTGCCTGAGGGAAATTCTTTTTCCTTAAAGAACATTACCAGCAACAACGCATTCCGATTTTCCCACATTTCTTAACAGTATAAAACTAAGAATTGTACTGGGAAAAACTTAAGGTCCTACTTTAGTTAATAGGCTGAGATACTATAGACCTACACATTCATAAACTTACTTGGCATGGTCCTCCTGACTGGCCCTTTTGGACCATAAGGTTAGGATTCAGGCAGGGTAATTTGCCTTCGTAATAACAGGCCACTGGCTATTCTCTCTCAGCAAGCGCCCCCGGAATAGCTGCCTGAAGGACATAAAGGCATTGATTTGGGATGAATCCACACATAAACCTAGAGTGAGGTTTTGCGGTAAGTGGGCAGAATGGCCCGTGGGTTGTTTCATTTAACCTAGTGGGCCATCAGCGTATCTTTTCTGAAAGGAAACCAGACCCAATTCTTTGGGGAATGAGGATGGGGATATAAATTTCCTTGTAAACTTGTTTTCTGTCTGATACCACTTAATATTTTGCATCCAAAGGCAGAGGCAAAGATGAAAAGCAACGACCATTTAGGAATACGTTTTCATTGTTTTGAGAACATACTAGCTCTCCTAGTTAATAAATACTTACAAAATATTGAGAGAGAGAGAGAATGAATTCACTGCTCTTCCACACTTGATTGAACTGGTCTAGATCTACTTTGGGAGCAGCAAAAACCTCAAGAAAATTCCCAAGCAGTAACTACGTTGTGCTACAATGATGAACAACAAAACCAGAGGCGAAGGATTTTGCCTCATACAGGACTGGCTGGCTGCCTACTCAGCTCATTGCCCACTCACTTGGGCCAGCTTTGCAGGCGCCTTCACGTGTCCTTCAGCCACCTACAAGCACCCAGATCCAAGTGCAGATCTGGAGGCCCACAAGCCCACCATGGACCGCAAATGGAGACGGACTGGTATAACCCAAGCCACCCTGCACCCCTCTCAAACCCCATAGCCCCGCGGCAAGCTGCACGTGTCCGAGCCCAGTCCCTGGTGCAAGTCCCACAGCTCAGGGAAGTGCACCGTGCGCGGGGACCCGCTCCGTTTCTCTCCCTGCGTCAAGTGCTTCACCCTCAGCCTCCCGAGAAACCCGCGGCTGACAGAGCCCAACTCTTCGCGGCGGCAACGGGCACCTCCGGAGAAGCCCCAGGCCGACCGCGGCCTCCAGGCGGGGCACGGAGGCTGGACGGGTGAGCACTGCAGGGTCCCGGGACGGGTGAGATAGCCAGTCGCTGACTTTTTTTTTTTTTTTAACGCTAAACTGGACGGTGGACGGCAGTAGGCCAAGGCTTTTCCGCCCGCTGAAAGCCAGCGAGAAAAACAGCGGTCGGGAAGCAAAAGCACGGCACCTACGCCCAAAGCAGTTAGGGTTAGATTAAAAGGCAACCTTCACCCGACTCGGAACCAACCCTCCGCACCCAACGCGCATTGGTCTGCACCTCCTTATAAAGGAGCGGCTGCAGCCTGCGCCCATTGGCCAAGGCCCGCCTGCCATTGTTCTCGCGAGATCAAGCGGGGGGGATTCTTTTTTCCAAGTTCTACTTCCGGTCATGAGGTTAGTCGCTGCGCTATCCCCAAATCCCGGAGAAGCTTCGGATGTTTTCTTAAGATGTACATTAAAGGTGAAAACTAATTTGTACTTCAGACTGCTGTTCCCCATCTGCTGCAGGTCAGGCACTGTGCACTCGACTACTTCAGGAAATTAGATTTCACAAAAATTGGAGGGAGGGACATACAGGAAAGTGATTCTTAACTCTGATCGTGACATTTAGAAAACTTTGATTCTCAGGCAGCACTGAATAAATCACAATCTTGGCTGGCCTCATTGGGTTGCCTCCAACTTCCTGCCCTGGTCCCTTCTCCTTAGAATGAATTATCTTAAACATCTTGAGCAGAGGATGGGTTTTATTCAGTATAACTACTACTTACAGTAAGGACTAAATCTCCCTTCTGCTCGGAAGGCCTTTCGAACATTGGTTTTGCCTTAATGTTGTAAAAGCAGGAAGGATATAAACAAAATTTTTATATTTTATTCCCCATTCCCAGGTTACCTTGTAAGGATCACTTAGAGCCTCCCGTTAGAAGCTGGAGCCTACATAATATCCCAGGCTGGTTGTTGAATTAACTGCTTAGAGACCAGGATTAAGGACTGTGTGCCTGCCTTACCTAGCAAGCTACTTCAGGATCTCTTTAAACTTAAATCTCTTAACCTGTTTAAATCTCAATTTCTTAACTTGTAAAATAGGAATAATACTTGTCTATTTTTCTGGGATGTTGAAGTTTAAATTAGGTAAATGATTGTTCCCATTTTAGAAAAACAGCACTTCAAGAATTCTAAAGTGAGCAATTGTGATCAATCTCTCCAGTGCTTGTGAATCGACTGAGTGCGGCATTAGTTGTTTAAGCTGACCTCAGTTTCTACAGCTCACCGGATCTTCTCTTGCTTACAATCACTATAATGGGAGACACATGCCAAACATTTAAATGTACCACCCAACAAATCCTTGACTCTAACCAAACTGAGTGAGTTACTGCCACTTGCACATGCCTATAATTTTTATATCTTGGAGCCTTTGCCCTAGTGTTCCCTCTGCCAGGAATGCGCTCCTGGTCCATTCTCTACATCTGTATACCTACTTGTAGTCCACCATAGAAAGCATTAGAGAAGAGGGCAGAGATGAAAAGGTAAAGTCCTCAATCCCTGTCTTTTAAGGACATATCTAATGAGGAAGAAAGACAAAACGATAAGACTGCATGAATAAAATGGTCAATAGACTTACATGTAATATAATGTGCTGGAGGACACAAATAATCAACTTAGACTGTGGAGGAAGCAGCATCTGAACAGGACCTATAAACTCTCTAATATTGTGAGCAAAAAAAGTTCCTTTGGGGACATCATCTTATTTGAACCTCACAACAACTCTGTGAGATATTGGGATTAGCAACTCCACTTTATAGATGAACTTGATTTTCAAGATGTTTAAACAATTTGCTTAAATTGGGCAGTTGGCAGGTAGGTGGCAGGGCGTGGACCCAACCCCACATATGCTGCCCCTAAATTCAGAGGGAAGGGCACTCCATTAAATTCCAGCTGTCCTTCAAGCCCTGCCTCAAAGCCAAATCTACCAGAAAGCCTTCTGTGAGCCCTCAAGGCATATTCCCTTCTATGTGTCCCCAGAGCAGTTTTATACTTCTCTTAGGACACCAAATCACTCTCTATCTTGTATTACAATTAAAGTATGGATTCTCCTGTTAGGCTAGCCTGCTGGCTTCCTTGGAATAGGATCTGACTCCAGATTTACCGTAGTAAAATGATTTGCATAGGGCAAATACTAAATACTTTATGTCAATACTGCCATCATTCTTTCCACTACACAGATCATTTCAAACCTCTCTTTCCCCTTTAGACCTATCTAATTAGGCACCAAGACTTGTCCACTTTTCATAATTTCTTCTTTTTAATTTCTATTGCCCATAATCTTGAGTATAAGACTTAACTACTTTATCTCTAGTTTTAAGCTGATCATCAAATCCCCAGAGCCTTTCCAGTAAAATTTATCCTCCAAATTATTGACACATTCATCTAATTTCCTTATGTCTTCTGCTTTTAAATCTTTGTTACCCATTGCTTTTAGGACATTTAACACAAAGCCTTCCAGTCCCTGGTTTTAATTTACTTTCCTAGTATTGCTCTTGGTCTGTTCCATATGAGCTTTCTTCATTTTAACAAAACTATTCTATTGAACATGCCTTGAATATGATTTGTTCGTTTTCATCTCCAGCCCCTTGCTCATTTCAATTATGCTTTTCTGGATATCTGCCCTCTTCTCCCCTCTCTCTACCCATCCTAATGACACCCCATCCATGATGGCATACCTCTGCTATCAAGTTTTTACTCATAGCACCTTTCCTGAAGTTTCATTGAATTTAAATCTATGTCATTCATTTAGCACATAGCATGTTACATCACAAATTGCTCTTTCTCCAAGGGAAATGGAAGATCTCCAAAGTCAAGAATAATTATTTGCAAGCACTGGCTGGGTAGCTCAGTTGGTTAGAGCATCATCCCAATACAACAAGGTCAAAACCTTGCTGGTGCTGGACACCAGGGGTTTGATCACCCCTGCAGGACACATACAAGACTCAACCAATGAATTCATCGATAAGAGGAACAACAAATCGGTGCCCTCCTCAAATCAATCAATAAAAAATGTTTCCTCCAGCATTTAATTTGGTCCTACCCAATAAACATCTGTTGACTGCTTCACTATTATTTTTCCACATTATAGAAATGCAACAGAAACATGGACATTCTGATAATTGAAATATTTTCTTTTCCCAGAAACATAATATCCAAAGTTTTCTGTCCCACACACTCAAAACATTTTCTTCTAGCCATTTGTCTGTACTTAGAAGCATCTCTGGTGTACTATGTTGGGACCAACTTCTTTAAATTCTGCAGCAGTGATCCACATGTCCTGGAAGGCAGACAGGGATGCCAGAATAGAGCCTCCCATCCATACTGATATTTTCCTTTCTGGGGGAGCTATAACTTGCACAGGGGTATTGGCAGGTGCCACATTTGCTATATCTTTAACTAGCCGCTTGTCTAAACCAGGGAACAAGGTTGATCCCCCAGCAAGGATAATATTGGAGAAAAAGGAATTCCTCAAATCTGAATCGCATTTCATTATGCTGCTGAAGCACATCTTATCAATGCCAGGAGTCTCAAGGTTCATGAGAGATGGAGAGAAGAGGGCCTCTGGACATCGAAAGAGCTGGTCATGGAGCTTGACCATCTTCCCATCAGGCAGTTGGTAAACTTTCTCTATAGCACTAGATTTCTTGGCTATTTCCTCTTCATAGTTCATTGCCACATAACAAGAGGTTTCCTTAATGTCTGCAACAGTCTTTCTGTCTGCAGCACCAAGCAGCATGATGCCATGGTCCTTCAACAGCATTGTGAGGTGGTTGGTGAGGTCAAGGCCAGCCAGATGTAGCTGCTGGACGCCATGAGGAAGACAGTAACCTTCAAAAATGGGGACACACTGGGTAATCCCAGCACCTGAATTCATCACAAAGCCAGTTGTGAAGCCAGCAGCAAAGAGAGCCAGCACCCCCTGGATGGACATATAGAAGGCAGGAACCCCCAGATGCTCAAAAAACACTTCAGTGATCTGTTGTCGGTTGGCCAATGGGTTCAGTGCTGGCTCAGTAATCAAGACTGGGACCTCACAGGGCTTTAGCTTCAGGTTGTGGTCATAGATATGCTTCCATGTGATCTCCATGTCCCCCCAGGAAGTAATGAGACCACGCTCCACTGGGTAGCTGTAGGAAGAAAAATAGCATAATGGCAGTTTCTACCTTTCAAACCTGGGTCAATCCCCACATTTATCACCAATATCCCTATATGGTCAGTGACTGCCAGAGCCTCTCGGAGAAGTTAACTACCAGCATAAGTAGCACTACCTTCCTCTGCTATTTCTGTTGCTTTCCATTCTCCCTACCCACTTTGGAAGACCTTTTGTGACAAAAAAAGTTGGCGGAGGCGGGGTTCATCTTCACATAATATTTCATCGAAGAAAATAACCCAAATGACAAAGGTAGCATGAACTAACATTCTTAAATGAATTAGAATTTTATGATGACTTTATAGGTTTGGGTACATTTGTATAGATACAGAATGCAAGTCATATTCACTCATTAGATGACTGATATTCGGAGATTCGCGGCCTTCACATTTTCAATAACGCAGGCTAGCTGAGACTCTCCTGGCTTCCTTACCTTTTCTCTCACCCTTACACACACCTCATCAGGGCTCTCGCTCTTTCCCCGCCCCACGTGTCCCGCCAGTCAGAAAAAGGCCGTACTTGATGCACAGCGAGCCTCTTCTCTCCTGCGCTTGGTCACCCACCCACAGCTCCTGCGCGCCTTCCGCCGCGCAACTGTGGCCTTTGGCGCGGCCGATAATGTTCGGGTAGATAAACTGGGGCTCCCGGGATCCAGCCAGGCCCGCCTTAACCACTCCCGAGCCGTTGTCGATCACCACCCGTCTCTGGTAGTTGCTCATGCTGCCCACGCCGCCACCACCTCCGCTGGCCGGGTCGCTCCTGCTGCCCCGGCTGCGGGCACAGCCGAGAGGACGGAAAGTGCGGAGAGTAGCCCTTAGGCGGCGCTACAAGGTTCCAGTGATGCGCGGGAGCAGACGGCCTGGAACGCAGCGTCACAAAGGCCCCCGCAAGGGCCCTTGGCGCCCAGGCCTGTAGACTCCGCAGACTCGCCGTGCGCTCCAAAGTGCAGCTCGCCAGGGGGTCTCACCGTGGCGTTACTCCCTGACCTCCAGCATCCCGGAACATCTTTATCAGGAAAAGGCGGTCCCCCCCCCCAAAGATACAACCTAACCTTTCACAAGTGGCTTTCTCTAATACCTCCATGAGCTATAAAAAGTTTTATTTCCCCAAGCCATTGAATTCTGGTTAATAAGCCTTAATCCAGGAGCCTGGGAAAGCTCTGGAATGCGCTGTTAAATGGGAAAAGATGGAAACATTAGACAAAGGAAAGTGGTCCCAGCAGGGAGGTAGGTTCCTGCTTTTGAAACTTTGTCAACTTCTGAAAAGGGAGGAAAAAATGCTAGGATTTAAAGTGAGTTTAATTTTTTTTTTATTATTGTTTCTATGTACTGGGCAATGGTTGTGTTTCCTGTGGTTTGTAAGCATAATGTACTCAAAAGCAAAATGGTAGAATCTCGGTATTTATTTATTTATTTGTTTATTTAAGCAATCTCATCAGGTTATATCCCGGGATAATATGGAAACTCAAAACGAAAACTTCTGGATTTTTAAACCTAAGAATGTCTCTCCCTCTTTGCAGGAAAAGTAATATTCCTTAAGTCATATGAAGCTCAGACTTAAAAACATTGTGTTCCAGAAAGGGCATCTTGGTGTCTAATTTTCCCCTCTCAATTTTGCACACCCTGAAGAGGATTTTTAAAATAGTACGCAACTTAGAAGCTCTGATCTACAGAAGCAGGGAAGGCAATTCAAAAGCTATTTACACGTCCCTCCACTAGCGGCTGGAAAGAGTCGCTTTCTCGCCAGCTAAATCCCGGCTCTGGGGTTTGGCGATGAGCGCTGTTGTGGAATCAGGGAGTCGAGTGTTCCGTGAGGGCGCGCCCTTCCAGGCCGGGGAAGCCCAGACACTCGCCTGGCACTCCCAGCAGTCCAACGCAGGGGAAAGATAGGTAATAACCACTTCTTTCCCATGGAAGAAAGTGTACCCACAAGAAGGGCAACTAGCGGGTGGGTAGGTGGGGGCTTTAAAAATATATTTTTAAAGTACACGCAAATTCTAATTTTTGAAATAGTAGCTCTGTTCCACTGGACATATGGTTATTTTCTCTTTCCTTGTTTTATTATTTTCTTTCTGGTAAAAGTTACATTAATACTGTTAGTTTTAAGAGCAAGCAAACAGCAAGTTATAATACTTATATATAGTGCTTCTAGAGGAGGGCACAACAGCCGGGTTTCCGTAGTGTAGTGGTTATCACGTTCGCCTAACACGCGAAAGGTCCCCGGTTCGAAACCGGGCGGAAACAGCTTCTTTTCTGGATTTTTAAATGACAGTGTCTACCAGACACGGTAATGCCATGTGCAATAAGGACTACAAACTTACATTTTAAAAAATTCAACTCACAACTTGATGCTGGGAAAACAATGTACAGCTTAGAAAGGGAGATCAGTGTGAAAACTGACAGCCCTATCGCTTCCTGGGCACTGTTTGTATTACGTCGTTTGGTTTTCTATTAGTTTGCCCCCCAAGACTGTAGATTTTCCTAAATGCCAGACAGAGACCATGCTTTATTCGCTTCCTGGGCACTGTTTGTATTACGTCGTTTGGTTTTCTATTAGTTTGCCCCCCAAGACTGTAGATTTTCCTAAATGCCAGACAGAGACCATGCTTTATTCGTATTCTTAATACAATTGTCATGCTTGACACCTAGAAGAGACTCGCACATTTTTCTGAATTAATAATTCATCAGAAAAGGCTCCGACAAAAATTAAAGTGGAATCAGAAAGAACGGCTTACTCAGATAAGTCTGTTAGGACAAGGGTCTCAAGATCTGGGTCATTCTCACTAAATGTTAGAATGTAGCATAGTATTTTACATACGAGCTGTAAACAGGATCAGCTTGACAGGAACTCAACTAGGTAAGTGTAGCCAACTGCAAAGAAGTTGGCGTGTAATTGACCAAATAGTGTATATAATCAATGGTTAAGCCTCCCTTCTGGGAGACAGAGCTTCGGATGTGAATCCCGTGTTCTTTATTTATTACAAGTAAATAAAATTACCATTCAACAACCACTTCGTTTTTTAATATACCACCCCAAGCGGCCAACCCCTTGAATTCAGTAACAAAATCAAGAACAAGCCTCAATTTTTTTTTCTTTATAAACATAACAGTTGTGGTTTTATGCACCAAAATGATTCTGAGTAAAAATAAGTTATAAAAACAGCAAACAGAATCTGGTTAGAAAAGTCTTGGAGAGAAGAAATGAATAAATTCAAGTGAGAATGTCCTTTAAGATAAAGTTGCTAATACGTTTCCTATGGTTCTGACACAATTTTTTAACAATTGCTGTTGGTTTTGTTTTTCTGAGACTTTTTTATATCCCCGGGTACGCGAGAATACGCCTTAACATAAATGACTGTGAATCCTACTGTTTCTGCTCTTTTTGTATATTATGCAAACTTGCTTCCCTCTCCCTCATTATACAAAATATGAATTAGATGTAAATAATTGTATTAAAATGTTTCTAGCTCCGTCTCAGAACTCTTTCCGGTATAACGCCCACCTTCCTCCATTGTTGCGCATGCCCAGTGTGCCCTACTGCTTTGCTCCGCTTTCGTGCTTCAGACTTCTGTATCCAGGTAGGGATATCCTGGAAACTGGGCTACAGTTGGCCGATGCAAACAAAACCCAGGAGGTCCCACGAGTTTTCGGGTACGTAAACTGACAAGGGGCGATCAGTCTCAGCTCAAATATTCCCCACGGCCGAGAGCCCAGTACACAAAGCAGTTGTTCATGAGGAAGGGAAGAATGATGGGAGAAGACGAGCAACTACAAACCCCAGCATGCAGTGCGCAATTTGGCTCCTGGAAAGAGGATTGCGTTGCAGCTCTGCCAGGCCTCGGGCCAAATTCGGGCAGAGCGCGAGACGTCGCCTGTCGTCCGAACAGAATGCTGAGGATGAGGAAGACAGGCGGGGCGTTGTGAACGAGCCCTGAGGTCCCTTATCTTTGACGCTCGCAATTTTGGTGGGCCCGGGCATGTAAGTGGTGTGTGTGTGTGTGTATGTGTTTGTGGGCCAGCCAGTTCGGCCCAGGCCAGTATCGGCTCTCCACGGTCCTAGAGCCTCCAGTGTTGCCAGGGACATCTGGGCCGGATGTGACGTTACCGTAGAGGAAGAAGAGAGAGGCGGAGCGTGGCGTGGTGACGTCCTCCCAAGATGGCAGCGAGAGAGTGAAGAAACAGTGTTTCCGCTTGGTTTGCTATTAGGTGAGTTCTCTCTTCACCCCCCCAGCCCTCTATCCCCGTGCTCTTCAGACCCTGGGCCACTGGGAGGCAGGCGCCTTGGAGTTAGAGCTGAAGTCGGGACGAAATTGTTAATGTGGAAAGCTTGGGCGAGGCAGCCCGGTGTTGGCCTTGCTTACAACCTTTGCTGTGGGAATTTGGGGGAGTGGGAGCTGGGCGAAGGGCAGGGCTCCAGAAGCCGCGAGAAACCGGCTTTCGCTGTCACTCTACCTTGCCACCTTGAGTGGAGAGTTGGGGAAGTGAAGGGGTGTGGCCTCTTTCCGGAGGGGGACGGAACCTTTGACAAGCCTTGGCCTTGCTCATTCTCCACCCCCTGGACATTCGCCTACGGTTTTAAAGCAACTGTACCGCGAAAGCTTAACGGGTTTCGGTGGCTTGCGGGCAGTTTTAAAGATCTCATACCGGGTCTTTCCCTCATCTTTCCTATGGAATCATTCCTTAATGGTTGGGTTTGTTTTTTTTTTTCTTAACATGTATGTATGCGTGCTGAGCTTGAAAATCTGAAGTTTCAACTGGTGCAAAATTGAGAAATTTTGTGGTGCTTTTTTTCCCAGCTTGTGGAAGTGTTTTTTCACTCTTGCCATTTATCGATGTGTCCTAAGTATTGTGATAGTTGGCGAAGATGAAACGAAGATAGAAAGAACTTATCCCTTTAGCATTTTTGACCATTATGTATTTGAGAAGAATTTTCTGGTGCGGGGATAAAATGAGAACTGACTTTTTTCTTGTTCCTGTTATGCCTTTACCAATTGCTTGGGTGAAGTGTTTGATGGAAACTTAAGATTGCTGATTTGATATTTCTTTTTGTCTTTTAGAGCAAGGGTAAAATTCCATTGAGATATCAAGATGCAGTATTCGCACCACTGTGAGCACCTTTTAGAGAGACTGAACAAACAACGGGAAGCAGGTTTTCTTTGTGACTGCACTATAGTGATCGGGGAATTCCAGTTTAAAGCTCATAGGAATGTGCTTGCCTCGTTTAGTGAGTATTTTGGTGCAATCTACAGAAGCACTTCTGAGAACAATGTCTTTCTTGATCAGAGTCAGGTGAAGGCAGATGGATTTAAGAAACTGTTGGAGTTTATATACACAGGAACTTTAAACCTTGACAGGTAAAGTACACAGTTTATTTAATCTGTAAAAGCTAATCAAAAGTCTTAAGAGCTAAAGTAGATACGTACTTTTTACATTCAGTCCCTGAACTCTGAGTCTTCAAATATGATGTTGTTTTGTGTTTTTTTAAGAAATCAGTACCACTAATTTTGATGAACAGACTATATTTTAAGTACAAAAGCACAGATGTTAGTATGATTAAAGCATTGTTTCTGACACATCTGATTTACCTACGGAAACAATGCCTATGATTTCAGTTACATAAATTTGAAGACCAAATACAATGAATCTAAGTGAATTCTAGTTTTCCCTTGCTTTTTGGTCTTTATGTTCTTTTGGTATTCTCTCCCCCTCACTTTCTGTCCATTATTGCTTAAGATGTTTGGGGTGAAGGACTGTAGATAGAGAAAGAAGCACCTCTGTGCTCACTTAATAGTGCTCCCATTTCCAACTCTAAATAGCAGTGTGCAGGACCTCTTTCTGATCTTGATTCACGAAAATAACTTCATTGGAGTATAAATGGTAGTGAGTTCAATATTAATGCTGCAGTTAGGTCCAAGGTGCTAGAATGGTT